GTTTTTAATTATACATATTTTAGCTCTTTGCAGTTTTAAAAATTCCACATGGCTTGGGTTTTATTTTATTTTATTTCTCTACAAACATATGTATTTCTGAGGTATTACTTGCAAAATTTATCTCCCACCCTTCTCACCCCGAAACGGACTCAGGGTGGCTCACAAAAAGGGCACAATTTGATGTCACATATACATATATAAGATAAAACCAAACATATACATTAAAACCAAATAATTAAAACATAACAATCTTTAAATAATTAATCAAAACCACTTATTCCAAAGGCATATTCTAGGAGTCAGTATGATACCTTTAGATACCTTTAACTGATGAGGAGATATTGGAAAAATAGATATTTATTGATTGATTTATAAATTGTATGTATTTTACAACACTAAAATGCATAGGATTTTCAAGTTCTCTCTGTAAGAAACCTTAACTGAAAAGCAAGCTATTTCCCTGCCATTTCATAACTAGAATCTAGATTCTAACAAAATTATTTTCCACCCTGGTATCATGCAGAATCCTCAATATGCAATTTTCCAAGGTTGTGACCTTGCTAGTTGTCCAGGGGTGGCTTCAGGAATATCTGCAGTAGAGCAAGCAATTGCTTTTGCCAGCTAGGCTTGATTTAACATGCTTATTTTGCATTGTGTTGCAAAAGATCTCATATACGGTGATGAAGGCCCCACTTTTCCTTGGTCCTGTTTTATAGATTTTTTTTTTGTTCTTTTGTTGAAAAATATCGGTTTTCCTAGACAATGGGGTTTCTATCTTTTAAATGTATATTTGCATTAGCTCACAAAGGAGACAGTATTGTGTAGAGCAGCCTCATGGTCATTACTATGGCTGGGCTACTTTGTCGTGCCAAGCAAAGACTCAGACACATTTTCCAATGTTCTTTTATAGATTTGTCACGGAGGGTTCTTTAATGACCACATTATTGCTATCAAGTTGAACAACCTGTTTCTATATATTCGTCATATAAATTAGCAGATAATGGAAAAGCTACAAGTATCTGCAGTATTTTCTTATAACAAGGAAACTGATCATTATATTCTTAGAAGTCTGAATCTTGATTATGCTCCTTGGTGTTGATCTTCTTTTAACTGTAGGTCTTCTCTCTCCTTCAGCATCGGTATTCTCTGTACACTCTTCAGATATTTTATTCTGGAGCCTTGTGTTACTGCATAGTATTGTACATCGTGGCTTAAACTAGCTTGATCTTTTAAGAACCTGAGCAGATGAATTAAAGCATTCTATCTTATGTATAGTGAGAAATATTTTAATGAAGTGTTCTATTATTAATATTTTAACCAGTTTATAGTCCCTTTGAGGTGCCGGATAAATCATTGGTACTGAAATGTGCATCTGGATTTCCTTACAGCCATTTGTGATGTCCCTTGCTTCATGAAGCATTATAGTATATTGTGTACCACAAAGGTTAAAGGCAGAAGATGGTGACAGACAGTGTCATTTTCAAAGCTGACACTGGTTGCCGATAGAAGTGTCTAGTGCCTTGGTTGGCACAGACATATCAAATACAGACCTGCTGCTATTTGAGTTGTAAGTGCAAGAAAGTCATCTATGTTTGTGCCCCTAGCTGCTACCCCGGGGGTAGTCTCAACATAATTTATCTGAGCTCATGCTGGAGAACCAGAACACCACTCAGCAACCTTTCTGCCTTCAGTTTGCCGGCACCTTCTGTGTCATAGTGGAGATGTCCCACCTTTGCTGATGTTACTGTGGTTTCTGTTGCTTAGTGGCAATTGGCTGTACTGTTGCAATGATCAGGATGCTGGGTGAGTTGGGCAGATTTGAAAGAAAAGCAACCCAGAATGCATTGCAGGAAATAAATGCAATAACTACAAAGCTAGTACCAACACTCCCCCTGCCCATGGGACTTTTATGGATAGGCCATAGAGTTGTGAGGCCATGCTCTGAGTCTTAGCAATATGTTTTGAGTCTCTTAAGTTCAATTTCACTTAATGTGTAAGCAGCCATGTATCTCAAATGTCTGGAGCTCATTTTCATACAATTCCAGGGAGAAACATGATGTAGGAACGTAAGGTGAATGTGCTGATCCAGAGTGACCTCATGCATTCATGCTATCTTTGATTGTAGATCTCTACTGAAACATCCCTCTCTTATTTGTTCAATCTTTGGGACTTTGAGGATTCAGCTTACTGCTGTCAAGGAGACAAACGGCTATTATCTTGCACTGAAAAAGCTCAGAGGAGTCCAGGAAGGAGGAGGCACTGCCTCAAAGATACTTCAGTTGTGACAGTTGCTGCTTCCTATCTAGCTTTAAAAAATCTGAAACTCACAACTTCAAGATTGTTTTTATTCTCCTTAAATAAACTATGATACAACCAAGCCAATTTGCTTGAGAATTTTCATGAAACAGACCTATACTTTTTAAGATCCCTGGTTAAGACTACTAACATCAAGAGGATAACTCAGCCGGAATCCTAATACACCACATGGCCTTGGAGTTGTCTTACTACTCTTCATGTGCTAGAGAGTTGCATAGATATCCTGCACTGTCCACTGACCTGCTTGCAAGATATAATGTTACATACTTCACTGTCTCTGATGTTAGTCCAAGAATAGCACAACATTTCAAGCCTTTTCATTTTATGTTCATCCCCTCAGTCACAGACTAAACCCAGTATTTAAGATTTAGTCATTTGATTCTAAATCTCTAAAACTGGTCTGATAACTGATCAGCAGTTTGTATCAGCCTAAAGTTGATGTCCTTTTAAGAATGTTACAGTGTGTTTTACATTCTGGTTTAGTGGCAAGGGAATGATGGTACACTTTGGAAGGATTTTACAGTTCACCCTGAGTATCCACTGGAATTTTATTCCAGAAATCCCCCCATGGATGCTCAATTATAAAATGGTGCCATAAAATGGCATATTATATAAAATGGTGAATTCCTCAAACAAGCCCCAAAGGGAGCCTGGGGCTCTGTGAAGTGGTGGGAGGCCGCAGCAGGGTATGCCTACACATCAGTGTAATTCTCAGTGGGCAGCAAAATCAAGGTTTGCATCTGCCGTTTTATGGACCATTATCCAGTTTGAAGGGCTCAATCTGAATCTTCTCGTAGTTTCACTGAAATATCACCATCCTGAATAATTTTGGGTCATGTACAAATTAGTTTTCTCTATTTTCTCTGTTTGCCTCTGACCCCAGATGCAAAAATTAAATAGTATCAATCTAAATATGGGGGAAGGCATTTCCTGTCCTCAATTATAAACATTCCAACTTGCTTTTACATTGGCCTTTGTCATTAAATCTTTGTATTTTGTTTCTGTCTTCATGTGTTGTGTTTGTACTTGTATCTAATAAGCTGTCTCATCTTTCCTTTAAAACAATCTGCATTGTCTAGAAAGGTCTGGTGTGCAAATCTTAGTTTCACTGATGTTGAATTTTATTAAATTGGCATTTAAATTTCTTCTGGTTGAGAAATTAACTTCGAGGCTAACCCTAGAGGGCTGCTTTTTCACTCTTCAATCTCTGTAATGCTGAATATATCTAGGAAGGAATTGTAACTAAGGCAAGTCATACTGTTATTTTCCATGTGTAAAATAGAAACAAAGCAGCAGATGAATTAGTTGAAAGAAAATATTTCATTGTGGCACTGGTTCAGGGTCTGACTGAGCGTGATCGTTGCATGACCTGCCCTTTGCATTGTATTTTGTATTGACAGCTACAAAACAAGGTGAGTCTAAAACAGTGGTTCCCAACTTTTTTTTTTTGACCAGGGCTCACTTGGACCAGGGCCCACTTAAACATGGACCACTTTGCTTAGGGACCACTCTCCAACATTAGTACCAAAAAGGGGTGGGGATGGTCAGCTCTGCGGAAAAGAGTGGAAATTAAATAAACAAATAAAGAGGAAGGAGGTTCATGGACCGGATTTTTGTTCTCACGGCCCACAGGTCTGAAATGAAGAGGCAGAAGAGAAGAGAGTTTTAGATGTTTACCTCTACTCCAAATTGTCACCTTATTGCTCTCCTTCCAGTAAAGCTTGGGTGCTAATACTGTTGTATTACAGCTTCCAGGAGCTGTAGCTACATAGCCAATGGTGAGAAATCCTGGAGGTTCCAGTCCAATAACTGGATCACATGATTCCCACTTGTGCAGTGAGGCTGGATTTATATATAGCAGTGGTTTTCAACTTGTGGGTCCCCAGATGTTTTGGCCTTCAACTCCCAGAAATCCTAACAGCTGGTAAACTGCCTGAGATTTCTGGAAATTGTAGACTAAAACATCTGGGGACCCACAGGTTGAGAACCACTGATATATAGGAATGTAAAGGTAAAGAAGTTCGGTTAGTTGGGACAGAAAATGTTAATAGCCTTCTTTCACGTTTTCAACATGAAATGTACGTCATGTCCTTAGCTTTATATTTGTTTGGTGAAAGCACAGGTTCTGAAATCGGAGATTGCTACCTTTATATCTACTCTAAAACTTTATTAAAGAAACATATTATTGAACAGTAGCTGCGCCTAATCCCTATCTGTATAAAAGCTAGATTGGGAATCAAATAAATAAATAAATAACTACTTCCTCCATATAAAATGTTAATAAATGCTTTATTATGCTTTTTGATAGACATTCATTCAAAGTATCATTCTCCTTAATTTTTTCTATTGTTTGCATTTGAGATTTTCACCAGTATGTGACTCTAAGTTGTTCTAATGGCCAGCATTTATAGCATTGTCCCCCTCTTCTGATCCAAATGGAAAAGAACAGAATGATATCTGTGTGGTAAAAATGAAGCTTTGATCCAGAGGTATATATGAAACATGGACAATAGAAACAAATTATTCGACACTTCTCCTTTTGGCTTGTTGAATTTAGCTCCTAGAATATGGAGAAAGTAAATATTTCAGGATGTGGATATTGTGATGGCTTAGGGTCTGGGTTTGTCTTCTTACTACTTGCTATGATGCAGAAAGTGCTGAATAAATTATCTCCCACCTTGCAGGCACTCCACCAGTTGTATTATGATCCCAACATTGAAAACAAGAACCTGGCTCAGAAATGGCTGATGCAAGCTCAGGTATCACCACAAGCCTGGCACTTCAGTTGGCTGCTTCTAGAGATGGACAAGGTGCCTGAAATCCAGTATTTTGGGGCCAGTGCTCTCCACATCAAGATTTCACGATACTGGAATGACATCCCTACTGATCAATATGAAAGCCTCAAGTCACAGCTCTTCAGCCACATTACCCGTTTTGCTAGTGGTTCCAAGATTGTGCTGACTCGACTTTGTGTGGCCCTTGCTTCATTGGCCCTAAACATGATGCCAGATGCCTGGCCATGTGCTGTTGCTGACATGGTACGCATGTTCCAGGCAGAGGACTCTAACGTTGATGGGCGAGCACGCTGCCTTGCTCTCCTGGAACTACTGACTGTCCTGCCTGAGGAGTTCCAAACCAGTCGCCTACCACAGTATCGTAAAGGGCAGGTCCGTAGTGTCTTGGCACAGGAATGCAGTTCTGTATTCCCCCTGCTAGAGCAATTGCTCCAACAGCAAGACTCTCCCAGCTTCATTAAACAGAAAGTGTTGAAGTGCTTCTCTAGCTGGGTGCAACTGGAGATACCACTGTTGGAGTGCGAAAGCTTGATTCAGGCTGCCTTCACCTCCCTGCATGATCCAGAACTCTTTGACACTGCTGTGGAGGCTATAGTCAATGCAATTTCCCAGCCCGATGCTCAGAGGTAAGCACTAATTTTACATTGGCCCACTTGTGGTCATAGAGAGTTTGTGGTCTTCACTATAGGCTATTTAGTGAAGCTCCAATATTAACATAATGCCTGTCATCTTCTGGTAACAGCACACTGAGTCCAGCCAAGAAATGAGAGGGGAGAATGTGTGTATCTTTTGACAGGGAAGAAGAGAGGGTTTTTTATCCTTAGAAAGTTGCTGCTTGAATAGTGAATAGAGTCCGTAAGACAGCATATGAACTTGGCAAGTTTTTTTAAAAGGGAGAATGCTTGGTGAGATTGAGAAACAATTGAATTGGAACTCTCCATGATAAATGAGTGCAAACTTTGTGTCTTCTTTTTCTCATTATAGTATTGTAATAGTTGTATGCCTAGCATGGTAGCATTATGCTAGGATGTTACTGGAGAGATTTATCCAGAGGTGGTTTGCCCTTATTTTCCTCTGTGGCTGAGAGGATGTCACTTGTTCAACGTCACCAACCTGGTGCCTAAAATCTTAATCTCTTAGACCAGGGGTCCCAAATTTTTAAAGCCAAAGGGCCAGTTCACAGTCCCTCAGATTGTTGGGGGGGGGGGGGGTCAAAATATAGTTTGATAAAAAACGCAAACAAATTCCTATACATGCTGCATGTATCTTTTTTGTAGTGCAAAAAAAAAAAAACCATGAAAGAACAATACAATATTTAAAATTAAGAACAATTTAAACCAACATAAACTTACAAGTACTTCAATGAGAAGTATGGGCTTGCTTTTGGCCGATGAGATAGTCATGTGTGTTAGGATTATTGTTGCTATGTGCTTTCAAGTTATTTCGGACTTAGAGCGACCCTAGAGGAACCCTATCACGGAGTTTTCTTGTCAAGACATATTCAAAAGGGATTTGCCTTTATTTTCATTTGAGGCTGAAAGAGTGTGACTTATCTAAGGTCACCCAGTGAGTTCAGAGCCACAGTCTGAGGTTCTAACCATTATGCCACACTTTCTGAATTCCTTCCCTCTCTGTTTCCAACCAACATTTCTTTCTCTTTCTTACTTTTCATCCTTCCCTCTGTTTCCTAGCTATCCTCAATAATTCCTTTTCTCCCACCCTTCTTTCTTCCCTCTTTTTCCTTCCCTCCTTCCTTTCCCCCTTCCTTCCTTCCTTCCTTTCTTCCTCACTCCCTCCTTCATTCCCACCTTCCTTCCTTTTGTCCCTCCCTCCCCTCCCTCCCTCCTTTTCTCTTTCCTTCTTTCCTTCCTTCCCAGAGGGGGTGTCTGTGTGCAGCAGCATGTATGGGGAGGGGCATTGCACTTAATTTCTTAACTGGTGAATATGTGTGAAAGCTAGTCACAAATGAAAGAATAGAGAGTTGTGACATGGAGGGTGAAATTTCCCAGTCCTCCCACCCCCAGGATTCACTATTTTACTCCATACCTTAGTTAACATAGTATTGCTTCTTTAACAGAAAATTTGATACCAGAGGCAAAATAAAATAGAGAGAATGGGGATAGAGTCCTAAACTACAAAAATGAAAGTCTGTTCAGAATGTTTCAACAAACATTTTATCCAGAACTAACAATATAAACATGGGAAATAAAACCACCAGGTTCGGTGAGTCTTTCATTACGAAATAAAAACACTACAAGCCTTCTGGACACTAAAATACTTGAAAGCCTCTTCCAAAATACATCTAGGGTTAATTTAGTTTTCTTTCACCAGCTTTTACCATTCTTATTATTTCCATTTGATGGCCAATTTAGGCTGTTTTAACATTCTATAGGAAGCTGGTAAGGCAGATTTATCTGCTTTCCCTATTCCCTTAATTTTGCTGCTCATGCATACTCACTAAGGGATTGTGGAGGCAGCTGCTGTTTACCTTGCATTGTGTCCCACTGCAAGGTTTATTACATTGCTTAATGTAATAATTGCATCAACACTTTATTTTTTTAAAAGATTATTTTTCAGAGACCTTATTAAGTGAGTTACACCTGTATTAACTTCAAGTAACATCATACTACTTCATCATCACACTAGAGAATGAATCCACTTTAAATCTGATTTCTGCGTCCTACAGAATTCTGGGGATTGTAGTTTAGTGAGGCAGTTAAAGGCTCCTCCCTAAACTACAAATCCCAGAATTCTACAGGAGGCAGCAACTGATTTATAGTGGATTCATTCGCTAGTGTGATGAGGTCCTTAGAGTTAGGGAAATCTCCAAAATAGCAGAGTATTTAAAAAATACAAAACAGGATACTTAACTGAACAGTTAGTTAGCTCACAACAAGCAGAAGGTGTAGTGTTGTGGCTGTAAAAGAATTTCTTGAGCTAAGGAGGCAAAGATGCTCAGTTTAATCCTTCAAGTTTCAAAAGGTTCCTTTAAAAATATAAGAACTACATTTCTTCATAGTAAAAATGGGTCTAAGCTTCTCTCTAATTTCATTACTTCTAAGGTTCAAACAAAAGGAAATAACTTCTACATACTACATTTTTTTGATCACACAGAATAGAGAGAGGTCTGAATAAAAAGGTGGGGGAAAAAGACACATGACCATGAGATTTCATTCCACATCATCAATTAGGATGGGAGGAGAAAGAGAGAGGGGGGAAAAACCAGATGCATCAACAGACATTCAGAAGTTGGGGGAGGGGGGTCCCTCAGCCTAGCCTAGTTGCTTCTCATTGAGGACTGCAGACTTGAGCAGTGTGTGGTTGAATTCCATCATTTAGGATACAATATGAACCTTTAAAACTATGCCCATGCCTTTTTGGTAGAAAGCCTATTGTGAATACACTAATGTGGTTATAGGAATAAACATAATACCCGATATAAAAATATACAAGCTATGAATTTTAGCATAGAAATAAGGCTCTTTGATATAATTTGCACTATGTCTCCTTCCTTCCCTCTCTCCTCACCTTGCCCAAGGACTCATTGGCAAAGCAGGTTACTGCAGCAACTGGTGCTCTCATATTTCAGAGGCAGAACAATGCATATAACAAATAAGGATTGGAAATGTATCGCTTCTTCAGCTTAAAGAAGAGAAAATTATAGGGAATGTGATAGCATTTTTTAACTTTTTAAAAAGATGACAGAGTAAGCAGAGTTTTCAACTATTTATAAAGATGGCAGAGTTATATTTACCAGAGGCGCCGATGGAAGAAGCTTTGGAATCAATTTTCAACAAAATAGAAATATGGTAGATTTCAAGAAGACACTTTTTATAAGAATGCAGAACAGTTTCTCCAGAGCTGCACAGAAACTCATCCTCTGGAAGTTGTACGCAGGGGATGGATTAACAGTGGTTTAGGGATAGTACAACATATGATAACTTTGCCTGTGCATTAATTATATCCAAGGATAAGCAACATTTTTTAAGATATGAGGACTCTTTGGAGACATGCATAAACTTTCCCTGGCTTCTCAGCATGGAGATTGGAATCCCTCTTGCTTGTGTGTTGAGATCTAGGATTTAACCACCCTATATTCCCGTAATCCAAGATGAGATAGTTGTTCTCTGTTTGCTGTAGTGGCATATTACTTAATTTAATGTCTCTTCTTTCTGCCAATATGGAATGGAAGGTGGAAAGGCAGCAACATTGACTGTGTCAGGTAACTAAGGAGTGAGAGTTTAGAAAAGCCTTTTCCAGTACTTTGACTCAAGATCATTGTCTTTCTCACCTCAGACCATTGCACCATTACAGTATTCTTTCTACTCAGCTAGGAAAAATGTATGGTACTTTCACACTCTGAGCAGTTCACAGTCACATATTGCCCACCACTGTTTTAAGTAGCAGTCTTATCCTTGACTAGGCAGAGCAAACTTGAACAAAGATCTATTTAAGTTGAGGAGTACTGCATAATGGAACAAGAATATTTCAAAATTCTGGAAAAACAAAGAGTCTCTAAAATAATTCACTTCCTTTATTTCTTTTGCTGAAGAAAGGTATGGGGTGCTTCTAGAAAAGGCTTTTTATTATTCAATTACCCTGCTTTACCTCTACCTACATCACTACCTCTGAGGATGCTTGCCATAGATGCAGGCGAAACGTCAAGAGAGAATGCCTCTAGAATATGGCCATATAGCCTGAAAAAACCTACAACAACCCAGTGATTTCGGCCATGAAAGCCTTTGACCATACATTACCCTGCTTTATTCACAGATTTTTACAGGAAATCCAGATGCCATCATCTTCATCTTGTAAGTTTCCTGTGTTTTCCCAGGACATTCCCTATATTGTCTTCATAACAAAAATCTATTAAGGAGGGAAGGATGGAATTGCTGCACTATACATTTTAACACTTAATGTTAGGAGCAATCTATCTGGAAGCACTCTAATCAAAAGCAATTAATTGCTCCAGATGAGGAATATAATGGCTGAGAAATCAACAATTACCAGAAATAACTGTTATGGTGGGATTTCTCCCCCTTATTCTCAAACTGTTAGAAGTCAGAAACCTTTGGAGATTTACTACAAATCGGCCAAAGATATAATATATACAAATTTACATTCTGACCACACTTGGATCATCACAGTGATCTATCTCTCCTTGGTTGAATTAGACTTTCATATACTAGGTGTTCTGGAACGGGTGTTCCAGGGGCTCCAATTCTGTGTTTTGCACTGAGTGTTTGTTCATAGTCGTAAGTTGCAGGGACTTTACAGATAGGTGGCTTCCTTTGGCTGCATTCATAGGGCAAGCCACCTGTCAATAATAGTTAGGATCCCTGGTCCCGCCCCCTCTGGGTTTTTTGGAGGGAAGGGGCCATTTTTCAGGCCACACAAGGAAGCCAGCCTATAGGACGCATATCAGTTTGTCCCGTAGGAAAGGCTTCATTCCTCAAAACCTTCCGGGGAAATAGAAACAGCGATCCGGGGTACATCTAGTGACCATCCGGGGTCCAAACTGACTATCCAGTTCCAGGGAAACGGAAGGAAAAGGTCCCAAAGGCTCTGGCTGAGAGCTCATAGCCTCTCAGCCTCACAGCACCAGAGGGGAAAACAGACCTGAAGT